TAATTAAAAAAAAAGTTCAGTGTGGATTATTTGAAAGAAAGACAGCAAAAATCATGCATTTCAGAATAAACAAGTAACGAAAGGTAGTTGATTTTTTTCATTAAAGACATACTGTGAACAGTCACACGAACAATTTGGGATTAGTGGAGTGGCAGAGCATTTGCGTTAGTTTTTGGGAAGGAGGGTTAATCTGTTTAGCACATTGTGAGAATTATATAAGATTCGTGAATATTTTGTTTTTGAGAGTTCCGTCAATTTTTGATTTTAATTTCATGTTATAGCATGCAACAAATGAATAGTTCAAATATTATTAGTTCAAATCTAAAAAATCAAATAAAATATTGATCTATAAACAAAACACGCTTAACCCATATTATAAACGCAAACACCGCCCTATTAAAAATAAAATATTTTTATTAGCATAAAGAAAAACCCTAATAAATATGAAGCTAATAATTTTATATTATGTGCGCGAATGTGCTTTTTCACAATATTATCCTATATAGTATTATATGTATAGCACCTGCACAGATATATATCTGGTTATAATATTTATAATATATTAAAATTCCTAATCCAATTTAATAAAAAAATTCAATAAAAACTTTCAAAGAAATATTTATTATATTTCTAGAGAGAAATTTTTAAATTTAAAAAACGCGTACGAATCGAATCTTGCGTACATTGGTCAAAAATATTTTATAATAACATGACAAGCGACACTAAATGGGAAGCACATGACAAAAACATCATTTTATATCGAAAACAACATATCGTCAGAAAAAAAATGTGATTTAATTTTAATTTATTTCGAAAGTTGCTATTGATTATGCCTGTACTCATGAAATCATAAGAATTTCAAAATTTGAGTTTTTTTCTTCTTGTTATTCATAGATAATAATTTTGAGTATGTTGCGTCAAATGAAAAATTAAAAGACCTTCAAATACCTTAAAATGCCTAATAAAACTCATGTTACTTGGTGAACTTGTGATACTTGTGATAAACCGATGGATAGATCTTGTATAAATTATTTTTAGTTTTCAGAAATAACAGGAAAAAAGTAATTTGCAGTAGAAGAACAATGCTAGCCCTAAACCCTTTGCAAAAATTAAATAAATGCGGGTTCTTCGAACAAAGATTCTAAGATTTTTGTTGAAGCACTTTATTGGGAGAAAAAACTGAGAGTCTCAACGCCAACAACATATTCATAACAATTATTTGTCAACATATACACAAGTTGGAATAGGAATGGCAATGTAATTCGAACTTGAAAATGCTTTTCTCGTATTTTACACTTAATAACACAACCTTATATACAAATTGACATTAATAATATTGAATTTTCAATTTTTAGGGTGTAATCTTGGATCGAAGTGGCAACTCTAAATTTGATTTTGACAAACATTGAAATTACAGCAGAAAAGAATCCCGCTGGCCTTTCCCATTTCGAAAGAGCTTTTAGTAAAAGGGTTCACTTTAAAAAGCAGATAAATAGAACTCAGCAAAATGATATAGATTTTGTGTAAAAATTAAAAGAAATATTTTTTTATTATTTTAATTTTACTCCTAATCATGAATTATGGTACTTATGGTAATTATATTTGAATTATTGTAAGTATTAATTTCCATAATTCATGATTATCAAAGGTAAGTCTAAGTGTAATAAATAAGATTAAGTTAATGCTTCTTTGTAAATTATAGAAATACCTGACATTTGAATTCAGAATTTACTAAAATGCCTTTTTATATAAAAAATATGGAATTTATTCCAAATTTCATTATTTTAAGATTTCAAATTCTGTTCCTCCAAAGAGGCTTATAGATTTATTTTCTTTTCTATTCATGGAAACATTTTATTAAAACTCTACAGTGGCATTCACAAGTTGTTATTGTGTTTCTTATTTCGTATATACATATATATACATATATATTAAAATAAAAACAATGATAAAAATAAACTTTGAAATATACTCACAATCATAAGCGATTCAATATGTCATGAGGTCTAAAATTTATTTTTATGAAGTTTAAATTCATATTTTATTTATTTTTATTCTAAAATAAAACTTTTTCTAATTCTATAATTAGATTTTTTTTTTAAATAAAAAATAAAAATTTTCATTTTATATTTACGTTTTTTTTTTTTCTTTAAACATTATACATAGTTAAACATAAATAAATTTCTCTCTAAATAATCATTAATTGATCCAGAAAATATTTGAAAAATTTTTTAAAATATCAAATAAAATTTGATTTTTTTTTTTTTTGAAAAAAAAAACGTCATGCGTTTACTCTTATTAATTTGATATTTTAGTTTAATTCAAGATGAAAACTAAAAATACTTAAAGTCACATACACACACACATAAATCTTAAATTAACCGGAGAACTTTAATTTTGTCTAAGTTTTAGCTTTGAGCTCGAGAACCTTAAAAAAAAAACTAAAATTTGTAAATGTTTTAAAATTTTGAGTTCATTTTTAAAATTTCATGAAAAAAGAAAAGCTTTTATCCAAATTTTCATGGACAAATGTGCAGTTCCATCTATATTTAATAACTTTTTAACAGGTCTAAATTTTAAATATCATTTCTTTATAATCAATTACAATTGAACTCATTTGACATTTTTTTATATACCTACATACATTCATAAATTAATCTTGTTTCAATTTCTATGCACCTTTCCACTTTTTATTAGTCACCTGTTTAATATAAGGAGTTCAAGTATGTACGATTGTGTATTTTGTTTCATGCATTTTATATACGTTTTTAACCTAAAACCTTTTCATAGTTTTGTAATTATGGAAAATGTTGTTTTGTTTATTGAAATTTTGATTTAATATACAAATCCATAAATAGATTTATAAAAATATTGAAAAGCAAAAGTTTAAATAAAAATATTAAATATTCTAGATCAATTTAATTTCAAAGCAACATTTCTATTTTTAAATAATAAGATTTGAAGTGTGACCTGTTAAAGTATAAGAAGAAATCAAATTTTTTTTAATTTTAAACTTTGGCTCAAAATATTTTGCAATTATGCCCCTGAGGATATGCAATTCAATCGTTTAATTTATTAATCTTTTAATTTATGTGGAAATCTAATTCAATTTTATTATAAAAATACTGGCAGTGTTTCTTTATGCTAGTAGTTAAATCTTTCCTACGCCACTGAAATCAATTATATCCTCAGTTTAGCAAGCGTGACGAGTCTGGGCGAGATATTAAGAATTTGTATCGGGGATTAAATAGATCCCTCAAAAGAACCGGGTAGATTAGATAAGCCACCTGTTATTGTACGATCAATGCTAGATTAATGGTTATGAGGTAGTGGCAGCAAAACGGCACATTTATACTAATTGAATTGCACAGGACTCTATTGGAGTGCGCAAGACCAACCGACCAAACCACTGTTTCTTTAAGCCGATCTGGTTAGAAAGCGCTCAAAGTTTTTATCTAAATATTTGTAATATTTGACTTAGTTTATTTCTACATGAATAGAATTTTTTATCAAAGTATATAAAATTGAAAACTCTTTGTTTCCAGTGAATGTTTACGTTGTATATCTATGCATGTGTAAAATAAATATGTGTTTATATATTGTGATGATGGTATTTAAAATTCAAAGGGTACTCAGTTAATAACGTTTAATAATTTAATTACTTATGCAAAATGTTTGAAAGTAGCGAAATATTTTTGTTGCCAAAAATTTCCAATTTATGTGAAGAATTTTTATTTCTTGAGCATATTTTAGAAACTAACTATTCAAAATTATACAGAGCATTTATTATTAAACCCTTAAAGGTTATATGTAGTACCTTTTAAAGTCATAGTATAAATTCCTTCTTTTTTAAACTTTTGTATTAAATACTGTGTAAGAGTCTGCTATGATACACTTATATTCAGTTGATGGGATTTGTACCGAAAGAGTATAATCAAACCAACTCCATATTATTTTAATTTGTTTGAAATTTATTTTCTCAAAAATAAACTTACAAAATAAATGCAATATTTTATTGAATATAATTTTTCTTTTCTTATTTTTATTTAAACAGACTTGAACTGACACCATCACTAATAATTTCCTAAATAGATAAAAGATCACGCACAAGAGATTCCCTTTAAGTATTTTTTTTCATTTTTAAAATAGGGATTTCCCTATATACAACGCTACTCACATGCATTCTTTTATAAAAAATTGTTATATAAATAGTAGATACAAAGTGCATTCAAGAGCTTTGGTGTTTCTTCATGACAGTTTTATGGGCTGATATATCACTATATATATACACATTATAATATTTTCAATCTATTTATGTATTTAAATAGTATGTGAAATGAATTTTTAGGTTAATAACAACATTCTCTTCTCTTCGGAGATGCAGTGCTTTTATAGTAAAGATTTTAATATTGAAATTGATTTATTTTTAAATAAATAGAAAATTTTATTAGGTTTAGTTTTTGTTTTATTAAAAGAAAATGTTCATTTCTTTTTTGCTCTTTAACTTTGACACAAAAAAAAAATTAATATTGAAATAATTGTAAATGAGTCACTTTAATAGCTCAGGATGGACAAATGAAATTGGGTGTTCTTATTTTTGATTAAAATAAACAACTTAAATTATAAATTAAAAGAGCGAAAATAATTGTAAAATTTTTAGATAAATTTGGGAATGGAAATTTTTAATTTGAGTAAAAATATATTCAAAGTCGTTGAATAATTTTGAGAATTTTGCACTTTGCACTGCACAGAACACAGAAATAAAATTGAAATTGAATATTATATACGAATAATAAATTTTAATTGCTCCTTTATTTAAAAAGTATGAAATATTTTATTGCAGTTGTTCCGATTCAAAAAAAATTCTCTCAGATTTATAAAATAAAGTTCGGCTTAAAAATGGTTTATATTGTAGCACTTTTCCCTTCAACAAGTGAAAATTAATGTTAATGTAAAAATAATTATGTTAAAGTAAAATTAATGAAAAAAAATTAACTCACCTTAATACCCGATTTTATAGATTGCTCCTTATCCTGAATACTGTTATTATCTTCAATATTTCGTAATTTTCCAAAAAGTAAATTATTATTATTAATATAACCAAAAGATTCAATAGCAGAAATTTTTTTAAATTGAATATTTTTTTGTAAATTATGATTATTATTTCCACCACAACAATTATTATTATTGCTACTACTTGTATTACTTATTGATGATTGATTACTATTATTACTATGAATACTATTTGAATCAGAGCTACTATTATAGCTTATTGAATTTAAATCACTTAACTCATTCCAATCATAACGTATTTTATCACTATTATTTTCAATAGTTATATTATTATTATTATTATTATTTGTATTTGTATTACGAAATTGTAATGGCGGTAATGGTGGTGGTAATGGTGGTAAACTACTTAATGGTATTGAAGATGATGAATTTGCTGGTGATATTGTTGATGATATTATTGTTGATGTTGATAGCGATGGTATTATTGAATAATTTAAATCAAAATTTGTTATATTATTTTTATTATCGTTATTATTATAACTATTTTCTTTTGTATTTGAATTTGTATTATTATCAATTAAAATATTATTATTATTATTAATAACTTTATTTTTATTATCACTATTATTTTGAATCAAATTTATACTATTACTATTATGATTATTAGTGTTATTTAAATGATTAACTAAAAATTGATTAATAAATTCTTTATTTTTTATAAAATTTTCACTATTTGATTTAACAATTCTTATTTGTTTATTATTACTTTCATTATTATTATTGTTATTATTTTGTAAATTTTTATTATGATCAGCTTCTTGATTTTTCAATTCCCTACAAAAACGTTTAACACGTTCATTACAACAACATAAATCTGATGATTTATTTAAACCATTCTCATTAATATTATTTAATAAACACAAATCAACATCACTTTTTATATTTTCACTACTATTACAAATATCATTATCAGTATTTATTGAAATGTTTGAATCATTTGAATTAATTATTATATTGTTATTGCTGTTATTATTATTATTATTATTTTGAAATCTACAACCACAATTAATATTTGTTAATAAATCTGTTGTTGTTGTTGTCGCTGTAGTTGTTTCACTTAAACAACTTATTGTGCTCGCTTCTAAACTATCACTTAAACTATCATAAAAATCCTTAAATATGATTCGATCATTAATTGATATGTTATCATTAATTTTAGTATTTGTATTATCAATAATTGCATTATTATTATTATTAATAGTATTATTATTTGTTTCATTAATAAATTTTATTTTATCATTTGTTTTATTTAATTGCGATAATTTTGTTTTTGAATCATATTGTAAATTAAAATTTGAATTTTTTTGTATTGTCACTGATTTTGGATAATCCAATATATTTTTCAACAATGAATTTTCATTATTATTATTAATATTATTATTATTGTTATGGCTATTATTATTGCAGTACTGATTATTATCAGTTGAAATTAAATGTGAATCAAAATCTGAATCTTCTTTTTCAGATGAATCAATAAAACCAATATCATCATTTGAATGTGAATCAATTATATTACATTTTAGTATTGATGCTTTATCAATTAATGGTGAGATTATTGTATTTGTTTTTTTGTAAATTGGTACTAAGGGTATTGGTTCACCAAAAATTAAAAAATTTGGATCTGAATTACTTTTATCATTATTATTTGTATGTGTTTCTATAATCGGATCATTGACTGAACCTAATGAATCACAATAACTATTCAAGTCATTATTATCACTGCTATTATCATCAATTAAACGATCTTCACTATCTGCACGATTTTTAATATATGTATTTGAATTTGAATCATTATTGCTTCCGAAATTTAATGTTTTACGAGTTAATTTTGGTGTTAATTTACGTATTACAACACTTGGTGTTGTATTACTGTATAATTTTATCTCAGATGTTGGATCACTTTCACAATTTTTTGATAATGGTATAGATATTTTTCTTTTAAGAAAAGGTGAACAATTAGTATCAGTTTTATTATTTACGTCATTGTGATTTCCATTAGTTTCTTTCAATTTTTCGTCTATTGTTGTTGTAGTATTATAAGAAAATGAGCGATTAATGCCGTTTTGATAGTTGTTACTTTTATTTTTAATATTATTCGTATTTACAATATTATTAATGCTAAATAAATCATTTGACGATCCACTGCGTCTATTTAAAAAGCTATTCTCATCAGTTGTATTAGATTTTGCAAAGCAATTCAATAAATCTAAACCAGCTGAAGGACTTTTCTTTATTATAAAATTTTTCTGTTCAAATTTTAAAAGTTTACGTCGAAATTTCGATGGATCATATGGTGATGATATACTAACGGAATCACAATTATTATTATTATTATTTATAACGTTATTGCTATTATTATTATTGCTATGATTATTATTTACATTACTAGAATCATTTGATTCAATACAATCATTTTTATTTTTTTGATTATTGTTAAAACCGTTATTGCTGCTAATTTTATTTTCAATTAATGAATCATTAGAATATTGATAATTATTAACATTTGAATCTACAGATTTGCTTCGTACCACTTGTTGATGGCGATTTGGTTTTGGTGGTACGGGTGGTGGCGGCGATAGACGACGTTGTCGTAATGTATTGAATCCATTATTTGTACAAGGTGTTATGATGCACGTTTTTGTTTTATCATAACCATTATTATCGAAATTTTTACGATCGGTACCCAATGATCGTTGTGCTACAGTATCTAATGTTTGTTGTATTATTGCTCTCGGTATACTACCACCAGTATATAATTTTTGTGGTTGTGGTAAATAATTATTTTGATTTTGTAGTATTTCTTTATTATTGTTACTGCAACTACAATCAAAATTTCCACCACATTTAAAATTATTAGAATTATTTTTTATTAAAATATTTTCGTAATTATTTTGATCGTTTTGATTTTCAAAATTTGAGTTATCTTTAATATCCTTTAATTTACTAGAAGATTTTATTTTTGTACAATTTTCATTTGTACCATTTCTTTGTATAAAATCAATTTTATAATTATTAACGCCATTTTTTTCGTTATTTTTATTATTATTACTTATATTAATATGTTCTGGATTTTGGTTTTTTGTTAATAATGATGATGAAATAGGTAAGGATTTCGAATTTTGTAACGGATAAGATATTTTCTCAAAATTTTCCCGTAATGCTACGGAGGACGGTGAAATTTTTTTAGTAAATTTACACGTTCGCGTTTCTGCTAAGACTGATTCTGAATTCTCAAAATTATCTCTTGAAATTTGGCCAAATTCATTTTCATTAGTATTTTGTTGTTGTTGATGATTTTGTTGCTCATCTGTTGTATTTTTAATTTCGTGATGAGAGCAGACATGATCATTGCTATTTTTAACAGCAGAATTTTTTGTATTACTGCAACTACAATTTGAAGTTTGGCACATTTTATTATTTTTTTCGTGATAATGAGAAGAAGAACTTCCATTTATTTTTATAGAATGGTTCTCTTCTGGTTGTTGATACTTATAATTATATTGTTTTTGTTGTTGATTAAGAAAACAATTATTACAAGATTTTGTTTGATTGATTGTGTGATTTGAGTAATTTTCGGTATTTCCTTTATGTAGTACACCTTTTTCATATGTTTGAATATATGATGGAATAGAATTTTTTGTTAAAATTCGTGTATTTGTTATTGACCCTACCGGTGATAAAGTCGTTACTGTGCATAACAGGGGTGATTGTGATATTGATGATGATGACGATGATATTGATGGCAATTGTGCTTGTGTTGATGATACTAAATACGCAGAATGATTATCAACATGAGAATTGTTGCCAACAGCTGTTGGTATTTTCGTTAAATTTTTCGTTTCACTATTTTTTTGATTTTGCTTTAATCGTGACGTTTTTATAACTGTATTATTATTATTATGGTAATTATTATTTACATTAGCGTTATTATAAGCTTTACCGTTGTTATTTTCTAAAGATTTAAAATATGGAATTTGTGATGTTGTTCGTATTGGTGGAATAGGAGCATCATTATCCTCATTTAATATAATTTTGTGATGATTATCAAATCTTGTAGTATCTGTTATTTGAGGTATTGGTGATGTTGTTGTTGTTACTGTGGCTGTCTCTGCAATAGATTCTGATAATGTAGTTGAAGTAGCTGAACAATCAACTTTTGGCGCCGACATTACTGTTGATCTATTAGTTGAATATTTTACAGAAGGCGAAAATTTTGATGATGTTGATGATAAAGATGAAGATGTAGATGGGTATTGCGACTGTATTTTTCTTGATATTGATGATTTTGCTGTTGATGTTGTCGTTGTTGTTCTTGTTGGGATTCTATAATTAGCTGCGATATTTATATTCGTTTGTAGATTTGAAAAATAAAAAAAAAATTGCGTGTATAATAAAAAAAAAAAAGAATATTAATATTTAAAAAATGAGTTCTGTTTTATTTCTGAAATAAATTTAAATTTATATAGGAAAATAAAATATAATATAAATATATGGGCATATAATATATTAGTAAGTGTGCTTTAATAAATAAATATGAGCATATTAAAGAGCAGAATTATCTTTTGAGGGACCGATTTTCCTAAAAAATAAATTAAGACATTTTTTCATTTCATTTTGGTCTACATTAAGCACTTGTCCAAAAGTTTTACTTCATTTTTGAATATTTTTTTATAAGTTTATAAAAATGTTTGACTTCAGATAGAACTAAAAAATTGGAATAAATAGAAATTTCTTACTAGGTTTTTAAAGAAATAATTTATACATTTATTAAATTCACAACTTGTTATGACAGTAATTATTATATTATAACAATTGCACAAGTACTTGTTATAATTAATTACTAAATGACTCATACCATGAAATACGATTTTTTAATTTCGAACAATACTGTAATTTTGATTAGTATTCCAAAAATACCAATGAAAAAATCAACTGAAAGCTGAAAGTGAGAGAAATAAGTATAAATCAAATAAACCTTGAACATTATACATATATACTTATATTCGATCATATCACATATGTTTGTATGAATGTGCATATAATTTTTATTAAAATAGAAAGCGAAATAAAAGTATATTCAAGAAAATTTAAAATTAATGAATGAAAATTCTAAATTTTTTAAGTGAAATTGTAATAATAGAAACCTAGTTTCTCTTAAAACTTGAATGATTTTTACTAAGTTTGAATTCTATAATAATTGAGTGTAATTCAGTTAATTCAGTTCTTAAATTCATTTGAAATGTAGTGGAAATTTAAACGAAGATTCGTTTTGGAGATTAGATTTGAAAATTTCACTTAAGATACGTACATGTTAATGCTAGGAACTAAGACAGAATGTACACCTTCTTTCAAAATAATTTTGTATGTCAATTTTTTGAAAATCTTTAAACTAAATTATAAGAGAAAAATATAGCTTAAAATTTTAAGCAAAATTATTATTTAATATTAAATAGAAAATTCATCGCATATTCATAAAATCAAAATATTTTTTTTCATATTCAAAAATTTATTTATTCAAATTTTCATTTATATTGTAAAAATTATTGTCTCCAGAGAAAAATTAATATAAAATTTATTAAAGAAAATAAATTATTTACGTCAAAATTAAAATGAAATCAAAGAGAAAATATTTGTAATTTTATTATTACGTCAAACAGTTTAAAAAGACAAGAAAGAAAAGAAATATAAAAAATATGCGATTTGACAAAATAGTAAGAGCTTTGTACTAAATAAATATCAAAAAAAAACAGTGGAGTCCAAAAACAAAAAAAAAAGATAAAAATGAAATAAAATAAAAATAATAAACAATTTGCATTACAGTAAAATCTGAAAAAAATTAACAGTTGACAAAGGAAATTTCATAATATTAATAATCAAGAATATAAAATTGCCGAGCAAGCAAATTAATTCCTTCAAAACTGAATAATATTAAATGTTTTGAAATGTTTTGCTTATAGAAAGTATAAATTAAACCTATACCTAAGGACAAGTTTAGTTTATGGAATAAAAATTCCTTCATACAATTGCAAAACAGATGGATGACGTAATCAAAGGAACGAGTCACGGCACAAAATTTAAAATATTTTTCTCTTCGAACTGGACTCGAGCCAGTGTCATACCGCTTTCTAGGTGTACGCTCTACCAACTGAACTGCAGAGGTATGGAGAAATTAACGGCAAATTATTACTCACATTGTTTGTCAAAGGTCGTTGGTTTGAGTTATTCTTTTAATAACTAATAGTAAAATTGAACAACTACACGCTGCGTTGGTAATTGGTACTATCCTTAAGGCTTAAGCAGTAAAATATTTATAGAATTCCTAAGTAAACTGTCTGCCGTTGTGTCAATTAGTTACACAGATACGTAGCTTTATTTTTACGGTAAAATTTGACAACACTCTACTGTATAATTCACTTATTTATCAATTTGTTTGTTTTCTTTTTCTGTCATTTCTAATTCTATTTAAAATCACTTTTATACGATTTTCATTGTTTATTTATTTATTTGAAATTGCAAGACTTGTACAGTAAATATAAAATATTGTTTTATTAATATATTAACTTCAAGGATTATAAATTCATAAAATAAAATGAATTGATTGCAATTTTAAAGTAAGAAAAAAAATATAGAAATATATGAGATGAAAAAGAATGTGATAATTATTCTGAAATTCACTTGAATTTTAAACAATTAAAAATTTTTAATACAATTAAAAGTTTTCAATAATTAAAATTGATGACATTATTACAAATTATTTAAAATAAGAGAATTTTTTTTTCTTTCCTGATTAAAATGGCAAAACGTAAACATTTGAATTTTGTAAAAGTTCTATAGAACTTAATTGTCAAATCATTTTAAATATTCAGTATATATAATAAAATATTTCATTTTATAAGTGATTCTTAGAATTTCTAATAAAAATCAGAGAATATATATTAACCCCAACAAAGAAATATTAACCCTGTCTAAAACAAATTTAATAATTCTCAATTTTATTCTCTTCAAGTCTCAATTCCCTGTTTCGTGCATTTAGTTTCATAAGCCTGGATAACACAAAAATTTTGCATAACACAATATCAAAATTTTTGTTGAATAACCAACGCTGCGAGTATATGCAATTACAAAAAACAAATTGTAAGTATATAATAATTACCTGATTTATTCGTAAAAGTTTCCAGAGGAATATCATTATCTTGTTCACTACATTTTCTTCTAATATTGGAATCATTATTATTCCTATTGCACAAATTCTTATTCCAACATGGAATAGAGATGCCTTTTTTACATAGACAACAACAAGCAGTCTTACAGCAGATTTTCTTAATTGAATTATGATTATTTTCACTTTCACTATGATAAATACTTGATGTTTTACTATCACTGGAATTAGTTTCTTTATTTGAAATGTCTTCAATATTATTATAACTATTGTTAATGCTTGAATTACTACAATTATTGTTAATATTAGTACTTGAATTATTTATAATAGAATCACTTTTAAATTTTTGTCTACTATTACTGCTACTGTTTAAACTTGAGTTTGATTTTATATGATTTCTATCATTTTCAATATTATATTTTGTTAATGTATTAGACCTTGTGGCGTACGGTGTTGGCGGAAGTGATCTAGATGATGATGAATTTGATGTTCTTTCTGTACAAAAACTATTTGGATCTGAATTTGTTGATAAGCGTATTCCGTATCGAATTGTACCAAGAGTAACATAACTTTTTTGTGGTATAGCTCTGAAATAATAAAAGAGTTTAAGTTGTTTAATATAATTTTTAATAAATATTTTATTTTTTTTGCTCTAATGTTAATATTGGAAAAAAATAAAAAAGAAAAGCCATTAAACATAAATTGACAAATCAACATGAAACTGAATATATTACTACAAAAAATAAATAAATTTTTAATTTTTATTTTTAAATAAAATAAAACTATATGTTTACTAGATTCTTGTGTTTTAACTTAAACATTTATAACACATTATAATTAATAATTTATAAAGAAAAAGCTGATAGGCATAAAATTGTTCAACAAGTAATAATATTTAAGATATACTTGTACATTCAATCAAGAGTTTCCATTCAAAGGTGGATCTGAAAGTGGATTTTCGTAAACCTAGTACAAGTATATGAAATATTTTAAATTATAAATTGACCTTAATTAGAAGAAAATCGACTTTATAATTTTTTGATTTTCATTTCCATTTATTGGAATTTAAATTTAAAAAATTTCAATATCCGGCAACTACAATAGAGTTTTGTTAATTTGTGTTACTACAAAATTTATAAACAGCAAAAAATAGCGTCATTAAAAAGTAGCATTTATTGCATGCAATTTTTTTTTAGTTTGCAACATACTGAAAAAATCATGCTTAATAAACATTATTCTTGAGCATTTAATAAAATTCGCCTAAATATATGCAAGGAAAGTGTTTTATAGTCTTTAATTTGTTGATTGCTTGTTACTATCAACAAAAGCTCAATAAGCATTTTTAATTATTAAATAGCTTTTTAAAAAAAACAAAGAACAAAATGTGAAATCAAAACAAAACAAAAATTTCCAGTGGAATAAAAAAAAAAACGAAAAAAAACAGCAAATATAAAAAATATTCTCAAATTTTTAGTGCTAAAGGCACACAAACAGAGGAGACAAAATATTTTTATTCACCTATTCCATTGCTGAATTCTCTCAGCAACTGATGTATCATGAGATATAATTTTTTTATTTTTCTCTTTTGATTTCTCGTTTAATTTATTTGCTAAAGAATCACTCATACTTTTTGATTTAGAGAGACTACAATTATCATTTCTATAATTTTTATCACTATATGAAGATTCTGATTCTGCATTTTTTATGTTTTTGGAATTCGAAGATTTTGGAATGCAACATTTTATGTTGCTGTAATCAAAATTTTCTTCGATTTTTATATTTTCGATATTGTGTTTTTTCGATGTTGCAATTGCCATTTTTCGTAATGAAATTTTTATTTAGATTTTCTTTTATTTGTTTATTACAGTCGTAAATGTTAATTTTCGGTTTGCTTTCCGTTATTTCGTATACCACGCACATAATCATTTGCGAATATTAAGTGTTTGCCTTAATTTTTTAAATAAATACTTTTTTTTGTTTCTATTTTTTTTAATAAGTTTTATTTTTCTTATATTGTGAATTGATTTTTTATTCCTGAAATTATAAATAAGAATATGATCAATTGAAGAGATGTAAAAATTGTAGTCGCAATAGTTTAATTTTATTTGATTGATTTATTTTAAAATAGTGATAACAAATTGACACTTGCATAAGTAATTTGCTAGCTTCAATAATTCAGAACAAATGTGTATGTTTAGTCGAGAACGACATTTTTTTTTTTTTTGTAATTATATATTGGATATGATCATTACAACGATATTGCCTCATGACCTATTAACAGTCCTATTTAAAATATTTTTATTTACAAAAATTGCAGAAATCCAATGAAATTTTTTCTAACTGGCATTATTGTTTTTGTAGAATTTAATTTTGTAATCGGCTTTAAATACGATAGTATGTTAATACATCTTCCAAATTGAAGTATAAAGAAGCACTATAACTAAAATATTTATGGTGTTATAATGTATATACATATGTATAGATATAACCTTCATCAGTACCACCTGCACGGCTATGCTTAATCATTAAACTTTATTTTGAAAATTAAATTATAAAACATACACTGTAGCCCATATCTATATGCATTTAAAAATTTAAACCATAATAATAACAAACAAAATCAATAAAGTATAAGATAAGATTAAACCTCAAGTTCTTTCTTTATTTATTTCTGAATCTGTTCTCTCTTCCCTTCTCTTTCTTTTTCTCCTTCTCTTTCTGACAATTTTTTTGTACAATATAATTCACAAAATTTTATTCCTTTAGGCCAAATAATATTAAAAGTTTTAACAAAAAACAAGAATAATGTTATAATAAAATAACAAATTCTGGTGCAACAACTTTATTAGGAAGTATCAAAACATCCATAACAGTAGTCAGTAAACGTAGTAGCCGCATTATACTATACCAATGTATATAAATATATTTAAAATTATGTTATATTATATTAAAAATAAAATAATTTTTTTACCGCGCAGTAGCTACTTTAACTAGTGAATTTCGGTGGCAACAGTTCCATTGTTTACATTGTGTTTTATGCAATTATCGTTATCGTATAAATCAGGACATGTTAGTGGCTTGTTGGACTGGCATAACCTGACATTTACATAAAATTAAATTAATGAATCTTCCCTACATAATTTTTATTTTTTTTTTGTGTTGCTGCTGAATTGTTGCTATTTTTGTGGTCTCTTTTTACTTTCTTTTCCTTTTTCTTTTTTAAAGAAGTCGGCATTATCTGCATGTGTGTATATGTTTGTGTGTTTGTATTGTAAAAGAATGAATAGGAAACAAAAATTTTACATTATTTTTTTTTCTTGTTGTTTTTCTTATTATACAAAAAGTTCCTATAAAAATGTAAAAAAAAAAACAATTATTTTAATTAGTATTGCCACATTATAAATAACTTTTGTCATATTAAAAATATATTACGTAGACTGTTGTTAGAGCTAAATACGTACATAGAGGTGTTCTAATAATATTAGTTAAAATCACATTGAACTCCAAGATGTTCGGTGTTCATCTTTTGAATTTTGATGATATTTTTAGTTAAAATTATTTAATGTTATAATATAAATGAAAAATTATCAGAAAAAGTTTCAACTAGCTCTAATTATAGTAAAGCTGATTGCGTAAAGGTGATGCATATATTTGGACCCGGTTTACCCGTATACAAAAAAACCCACAAATTTTTAAATTACACAGTGTAAATGTGGTTTATGTAGGACTTAACCAAACTTCACATTTCTTTCAGTACCCACCACTTTTGCCATACTCTAATAATTAAGTGTTGGTAGATGGTAGATTCTAAGGGAACTGAGTGGGGACAGGAGCATCCCCCCAAGCCACCGCAGCCATTTCTGACTTATTGTAGCCACCCCACCCTCCCGTCTATAATATCCCCGTCCCAATCACAAAGCCGGAGATATCCCTAAGGGAGTTGGACAATAGTTCCCGAACACTTAGGGACCCACGTCCAAGACAATTGCGGCGCCGAACAGCCAGTGCCGGACAGTCGCAGAGAATGTGCACGGCGGTCTCATCGCCACCCCCACAAAATCTGCACAGGGGGGAGCCCGACTTCCCCAGCCTGTGCAGGTGGTATTTCACCGGGCAGTGCCCCGTGAAGAAATTCGCAATAGTGCGAACCCGGCTCCTGCTCATCCCCAGCAACTCCGCAGCGAATCCGCCGGAGCACGCCGGAACAAACACCTTCGCATGACGGCACCCCTTCGTGTCCCGCCAGTGACGACTGCATTCCGCCGCGAGTAGGCAGGCAAGCCTGGCCCCCACGGCGGAAGAAGGCAGACCACAGAAAGGCAGCGGCTGCACAAAGGCAGCCCCAGATCCCCTCCGCGCCAACTCATCGGCAACTTCGTTGCCCGCATGGCCACTATGGCCCGGCACCCAAATGAGCATCACTCTGTTTTCCGATGCCAATTCCATAAGTGCAGCAAGGCAGCTCCAGACCAGCTTGGATGTAACCTGAGCTGAACGGAGCGCCAGCAGTGCAGCCCTGCTGTCTGAGAACACATAGATGGTGCGGTTTCTATACCCCCTTTCCAAATTGATTCTCAGACAGATCTCTATTGCATGTATTTCGGCCTGGAACACTGTGCAATACGGGTCAAGGGTTGCATATACACGCGTGTCCGGGCGGACACCGTATACGCCCGAGCCCACACCCGACTCCGTTTTGGATCCGTCCGCATACCACACGCTCGAACCCGACCTAAGTACCGGACCACCCCGATCCCACGTCCATCGATCAGGAAACAGAACCCTGTACTTGTGGTCGAAGTTGTACCGCGGCAGACAGGTATCTGACATGGTTATCCTTAGAATCGGATCGCCCTCAATGAAGTCTCTGTGAGTTCTGTGGGCCAACTTTAGCCCTGCCCCGTCCTCGCCAGAGAGAAGTCGGTAAGTCACCAGCCGAGCTTCCTTCAATATATGGAGGTGCAGTGGCGGCAATCCGATCATCACCTCCAATGCAGCGGTGGGAGCCGTCCGCATCGCCCCGGTCACTCCCAGGCAGGCCAGCCTCTGTAGCTTTTCCAGCTTGGCCCGCACACCCGCCTGCTGAGCCTTACGGCACCATACAATCGACGCATAGGTGACGATGGGCCTAGCAAGGGCCGTATATAGCCACAGTGCTATTCTGGGACTAATTCCCCAGAATAATTAAGTGTTACAAGAAATGAGTATTCGGCCAATAAAATTCTAAAACAATAATAATAACTTTTTATAATAAATAAATTACTTCAATAATAAGTTAGATTTTTCAATAATTTATTAAAAGTTATTAAAATTTATAATATTAATTTCGCATGCAAGTGGCAACCCTAATTTTGAATATAATTATAAAAATATCGAGTTGTTTTTTAAAGGAGAAAAAAATTTGTTGTTTTATATTTTATTATATTATTTTGGTTAAAATCTTGAGGTTGCCATTAAGATGTTTTTTTTTTCCAAACTGTTGCAGCAACATACTATAGTAGTGCATTTAATACAATATTGTAAATACTTAAGGCAAATCTGCCTTTTTTGGATGCACGAGTTTTTTTTCATTACTCCTTATTTTTTATTTTTCTTTTGTTGTTTTTTACTTTTCCTATAACTTTGTCTACTTCTGTTTTTCTTTTATAAGTTGTTTTTGGGGTTTTTGAGGTTTTAAATTTTTATTTTGTACGCCAGTGTCTATTTTTTTCTTCTATTTTGTTTACATACACCATCTTCCGATATTTTCCACAAGTTTGATCGAAATTTTTAAATTAGAGATAAACTCACCGTATGCTTACTTTTGTAGATAAAAAAATAGGAAAAAAAAATCTAAAGTTGATGGTAAAAAAAAAAAATCGCATTCTTGTTTTCTTTTCAGCGTTTTGAACTTTTTTTCTGCATGTATTTTTTGGGTGAACTTGTAAAAAATAGATATTAGAAATTCCTTCTTTTTTTTCTGTTGTAAATTAAAATATCGGAAAATTAAAATTCATTTTCCTCAGGTGAACTAATCAGAAATATTTACATAATTTTTGAAGATTTCGAAATTTCCCAAAGGAATTTGAAAAAGAAAAGAAGAAAAAAATTTGAACAATTTGTAAAAATTATTCAAGCATTTTAACTAAAAATACGATTTCAATCATCGATTTGTGTGGCGTCTTAATAAAAATAATAAATAAATAAAAACTTGTAATAAAAATAATTTGTAAATATTAAAATTTTTATCAATTTCATAGATATGGCATTGATGTAAACAAATGAGGACATTTTCTTCATTACTGTCTAAATGTCACTTACACGCCTTTTGTTTTTTAGAACAAAATATTAAATACAGTTCGATTGGTTCAAATGCACTTGTAAACAACTCATTTAATAAAACAATTTTCAGATAACCTGAATTTTTTAATAATTTTACTAAGGTTAACTTCTACTCTAGGTTTATCTTTCGCGAAAGATAAACCTAGCGTAGAAGAGTTTCGCGGGGGCCGCGAAACTTAACCTAACCTAACCTAACTCTATAAGGACTACAAATTTCACATAGAATTTGAACCAATTATTATGCTATATAACAAAAACTGAACACCAACAGAATTAAGTCAGCATACGGCCCTGTCATTGAGTTAACGAGAAATCTCTGCAAGTGACAAAAAATCCTCATGAATCATCAGAGTTTCTATTATCTTTATTCAACTGTATAATACGATTTAGTTGATTATTTTTAAGATTTAATTTTAATTGATTAGAATTTTGATTTCTCTTTAGGTTACAACGTATTTAGAGAGTAAATTCAAACGTTTTAGTAGAAAAAAGAATATCAATTAAATATTGGTGACCTTTTATACTTTTACTTAAAAATTGGAAAATACTAGTAGTGGTCTGAGTTTTGGATCATTTGAATATTGGATTAAATTTTTCTATAAAAAATATTTTTCAAGCTTAACAAC